AATCCAATTTATCCAAATGATAACTAAACCAACCGTAAAACAACAAAATTGACTAGATATAACATATATAAAATTACAGTATAAGTAAAGTAATATAATACTATTAATATAAATGATGCATACAAATTATAAATTAATTTAAAATTAAAAGTAAATAATAATCAATTATTATTATATATTTAATTTAAAAATAATTATATCCGTGCATGAGCACGGGAAAATCACCTAGTATATATAGTAGTTCAAAAGACCAAATGTTAAATGGTCGAGGTTTTATTCTTGAAGAACTCATAGATGAGTAGTCGTTCTTGTCCATCAAGGCAGAAGCCTAAAAGACTAACAAGATTCACTTGGTGTGTGAACTCGCTGTCTCCTTGTCCTGATTTTGACAATCTTTGCAAAGCTACATCTTCTCCAGAATCAGGAATACGCAAATGATCATAAAGACAAATTTAAGAGACTAAATCATAAGATCAGTGTTATTAAGATCAAACATAAGAAACAATCATGGGAATGGCTACTTTTTGTCAAAGTTACTTCTAATATGTCACTATATAATTTTATAGAACTTAAATGAATAACATGTTATCGAAACCTATTTTCATTTGAAATGCAGCTCTAAGCTCCTGACCATTTTAGTGTAAATATCCTTGACAAATTGTTTACAACATTATCAACAAGTTTTGGTCATCAACTGGATTCAGCAATCATGCATGCTGTAGTAGACTTTAAAGCAATAGAATTACTCATGGATTAACGAGGAACTAACTGAGTGATTGAAACACTATTGAAAGACGGAATAGTACTTGTGTGATTGCCTCTTGATGATGATGATTCTCCATAAAGTGGGTAAAAACCAGGTTGTGAGGGCCTCGGTAACGTGAAAGAGCTCTCACTTAGCATTACAACAACATAAGCCATTGTTGGTCTACTCTCTGCATTCTCCTGAACACATAAAAGACCAATGTGAATGCATTTCATTATGTCATCACTTAGACCTTTTGTTTCAATCAGAGTTGGATCCACAATCTTTAACACTTTCCCTTCTCTCCAGCATTTCCACACCTACGCATATATAAATAAGAGTTTAAGTTAAATACCCCCCCAAGAAAAAAAAAAACAACAATTTTAGGGTTTCACTTACATAACTAAGGAGGAACAATGATGTTTCTTCTTCTGGAGACCAGTTGTGTTTCTTGCCTGTAATGATCTCAAGGACTAGTACGCCAAAGCTATATACATCAGTTTTCACCGAGAACTGCCCGTTCATTGCATACTCTGGAGCCATGTAACCGCTGCAACGACCAAATAATCTTTAGGTTTATGTTCTTTCTTTCTTCTTTCGCAGAATTTAGTGAACCAAAAGGATACTTTTTTTTTTTTTATTGGAAGCTTACTAGGTTCCCGAAACTTTGCTTGTAAACTTGATTTGATTTGTTTGGTCTGTATCAAACAACTTAGCCATTCCAAAATCCGCGATTTTTGGATACATTTCGTCATCCAGTAGAACATTGCTGGCTTTAAGATCTCTATGAATGATTTTGATACGAGAATCTTCATGAAGGTAAAGAAGACCTCGAGCAACACCTGAGATTATCCTCTTACGTGTTTCCCACTCTAAGATCATTCTCCTATTAGAATCTGGTGAAGAAAACGATTTGATTCATTCATTATAATTAGTTAAAGTTATAGATGCTTGTGTTTAGTTTATAAGGTACCTACCAAATATGTAGCGCTCGAGGCTTGTGTTCTTGAAGAACTCATAGATGAGAAGTCGTTCTTCTCCATCTAAGCAGAAACCTAAAAGCGTAACAAGGTTTCGGTGTTGAAGTTTTGCGACCAAAGAGACTTCGTTTATGAACTCAATGTCTCCTTGTCCTGATTTCATTGACAATCTTTTCACAGCTACCTCTTCCCCAGAATCAAGAACACCCTGGTTAATCAATGAAGCACATGTAAGAGAGATTTAATCATCAAAATAATTAATGTAACTATGGTCATAAGTAACATCAAGTTAAACAATCAATCAAAGAATCACCTTATAAACTGCACCAAAGCCACCTTCTCCAAGGTGATTGTTAGGAGAGAAGTCACTCGTTGCTAGTCTTATGGTATCAATGTCCAGTTGAAATAATTGTGCATCTTTAATCTTACTGTCTTTGACATCTTTGCCTGATCCAACAAGCATTAAAACCACAAGGGAGTACAAAAATACTCTAGAAAATAATTACAACCTAAACATTTAATTTTTTTTTAGCAGATCCCACCTTCGAGACTTTGTTTTTCTTTTCTTCTATCCTTTGTTAGTAAGAAGCAAAGACAGAATATTATTATGACTAAACCAAAAACACAGCCAACTGTGGCAATAATACTTTTGGTTTTGCTCATTCCTGCCCAGAGAAAGAAAAAAAATCTGTTAGAACCAAGAAAACTCTTGGTGCAAAGAGAAGCTAATGCAGAGTACTCTGTTCTTTGTTTTTTCGTTTTTCTTTAAATGATAAAAATAAAAATCTGTTTACCTGATTTCATTGATAGATCATCAGGGTCATACTCGAGAAGGAAGAATCTCAGGCCACTCTCAATCTGAAAATTACAACTTGGACAAAACCACCTGATTCCAATTCTCCCTTTGGTCGCGTTCCTAAAACCATAAATGAGACAACGGTTGCAATCTGTATGAGACAGATCGGGCGTGCACTGAGTGGTGGCGAAGAATCTGGTGTAGGGTGGAGGACCAGGACCAGGACCTTCTCCTTGAGCATACTTCCTCTTAGGGCCACCTCTCGCAGCTTGTAGTCTGAGCTGGTTAAGTAACTTGCTCTGCAATCTAATAAACTCGGTTCTGTTTGCAGTAGCGTTGTTTGGGTTCAAAACCTCCATGGCAGGGGAGATTGTGAGTTTCCCAAAAATGGGTTTGTCCGAGTAACGAAACATACACTTTGTGGAACGTATTTGAGCTTCTCTATCACCTGGACAGTAGATTGTGGTTAGATTGTTTGCAGCATGGAAGATACAGTTGAGACAGTCTACTCGGGTGAGTACTCTGTTGCAGAGTCCAATGGCTTCGACTTTATCTGAGTTTGTTCCGATGGAGAGGTTGTAGAAGTTGTAAGTGTTGGAACGGAGAGAACGGATGGAAGAGACAAGACGTTTAAGGTTGTGTAAGTATTGGGAGTGGGAGAAGTTGCCTTGTTGTTGGGATAAACATTGTGACTCTGAAGAAATATCCCAGTTAGAACCGTCTATGTCGACAGAGAATGGTTGTGGTAAGCTGAGACATGGGACGAACAAGAGTAGGAAGAAGAAAAAGACATGTTGCAGCCGAGAGAAAGAGCAAGGACCTGTCATGGCAAAACTGGATGTTCTAACTCCGGATGTTTAGTTTCTTAGCTAAAAAGAAGATAAACGAAAAAAAACTTCCTCCAATTGTCACTTTCATGCAAGACCAATCTAGGGGTTAGGAAAATTACATTTGACATGACATGTCTTTATTAATTTTAAAACAGTGATTAATAAACTGACTCGAAACTGAACGTTATCCACACATTGAGTTGATATTGTAGAAACTGAACGTGTTCCTGACATTAAATTGATATTATAGACATTGAACGTTATGCATACGTTGGGTTACAACCTTTTTAGCAGCCATTTCTTACGAATCTTGTTCTCTTTGTCTTTCGCTTGCTTTGTCCTTTCTCTTACTTGAATTATTGACAACCTCCTCACCACCACAGATTACGAAAAGACTCGTATACAAATAACAGATCAATATAAGTCCAAACCTTAACATACACTTTCTTTAACCAGCTTGCCCGAATAACAGATCAATATAAGTCCAAAGATACATTCAAGTTGACCTATTTTTTTATTGCCTTTGCATAAACTAATTAACGACGATCTAACTCAGTGATCCAAGTCATTTGTATTGTTCTTTTGGTTGCCGCAGGTAGCAACGGATTTTTTCAACAATCTTGTTCGTTTGATTGACGCAAGTACCTGTGTTTGAAGTTGAATCCTGGATTTGACGCTGTAAAATCTTGTGGCTATGTCTGAGACTATATCTGCATCTGCAAAACGAACAATAAGTTAACTTATGAATTGATGCAGTTGGAGATGTAGCCGTAGAGCAACTGCAGAAAACTGCATCTACCAAACAAACAACACTATTGTTGATGCAACAAGTATATGGTTTTCTCTTGATTCTCTATCTCCTAAGTAAAAAGCGGGTTGCAAGGGTCTCGGTAAGAATATTATTGAGGTTTTTGGTTAATAGTTTTTATTGGTTTTCATTATAATTGTGTTACTAGATATTTTGTCTGCACATGCGGACATGATCTTCTTATGAATACTTATTAATTTCATCTTTTAATCTATTTTATATCTGTAAACCAGCAACATGTACTAAACTACCAAAAAAAAACTTTGAAACACACAAAATTCACGTAAAAACAAATACGTAAACAGTCAATAAAACTAAAGTTTTATGATAATTTAAAAAAATACTTAAAACAAAAAAGATTGAGATAATGATGATATTTCATTGATTTACTGATGAATATATTATATATACATGATTGACTTATCTTGATCTATCTATCTATCTATATATATAAAATAACTTTCTTCCCTCTTTCTTAAGCCACGTCATAAAATAAAGAAGGGAGAAAGTGATACATATCTTTTCAATCATCTCATGCGTTTTGATTTTTGGCATTCCCAAATTAGGGTTCCTTTCTTCTTCGACTTCCGCCACCAAACAATAATCGTCTGCGTTCTCTGTTATCTTCAATGCTGTCTTTAGAGATTTTTTGACTCTAATCAGCATGAAAAGTCTAGTTGTTGGCTTGCAATCGCGTCGATATATCTTCTCACTCATCAACCTCCTTTCTGTTTGTGATCGAAAATGGCAAAAAGCGCCACTGGCTGTTGCTTTCACTGATGAGCAGACCAAGAGTTATATGAAGCCTGCTTTCTTATCGACAAAGACTCAGATGGTCTTTAGTTGTTTACTTTTTTTCTTACTTAATGCACAACCTTTGTTTACAAAGGAACGAATAACTGAACTGATAACATGGATAAGTTGATATTTATATATGTTGTGCGTGTAAAAACAGAGTTCATCTCAAAGGAGAAGCTAAAGAAAGTGATGAACTAGATGCGGAAGAATCCAAAGGAGAAGCTAAAGAAAGGATTTAGGGTTTAGGGTTTAGGGTTTAGGGTATATGTTTTTACGTGAATTTTGTCTGATTCAAAGTTTGTTTTGGTAGTTTAGTACATGTTGCTGGTTTACAGATATAAAATAGATTAAAAGATGAAATTTCACCTTCTTACTTAACTTTATAATTGCGTAGATTGCTATGTGGTTACATTGTCGTAGTCTCATAGTCTCATAATCTTATATTTTCCTCAGTTTTAAGAAGACAAGGTCGAGATGGACAAAAAAATATGATTAAAGAGTATAACGAATAATTTATTGGGTTGTTAATCAAATATATAATGCATGTATTATTAAATATTCTTAAAAATTAGATTGGTTAAAATTGTTGTTATCGTTAATAAATTTTTATATAGAATTTAGTATTTAATTAAAAACTAATTTCTATTAAAATATTAGACTTAAAAATAAGATAATTTTGATATATTGTGTTCTTATCTTGAAATAATATTTTCTTATATAAAAGTTACAAAATTAAGATACAAACAATTTATAATTAAATATTAATAAAAAAAAATTGTATAAAGATATTTTCTAATATATTTTTTATATGTGAGTGATTTTAAAATTTTACCACAATAATAAATATATATTTCAATGAAAGATTTGTCATAAATAAATAATATGATGTTTTATTTAAATTATAAAAAATATATATAATAATTTATCATATTAAATCAGCATCTGCTAATAAATTCATGCTAAAACACAAGATGCATTATGTATAGCTATTTGATTTCTTAATAAACTTCAAGATCTGAGATTAATATACATATTAAATAGGATAAATATTAATTCAGTGTTTTGTTAAAATGTGTGAAAAAATGTGGGATAATATTGACACTATATTGAATGTGTCATTATAATTGCGAAAATGAATAGTTAAATACATAGATAAAACTGTTGTAAAATAATTATGAAATTTTAATACTAATTTTATTTAAAATAAATTTAAACTTTATTATGAACTTTTAATACTAATTTTAATACTAATTTTAGTTAAAATAAATTTAAAATTTAAACCCATAGGGCGGGTATACCCTAGTATTTCATAAATTTTACTTTTAATTAAAGAAAATAGATAATGATAGTTTTATTATTATGATCAATTGATGATAATTTATATAATGATAATATAATTATTCATTAAAAAATTATCTACTTTAACCGTTTTAAGAACTAAAACATACAGGTGACATACGACCACTATATAATTTAGAATACCTTGATAATTCATAATTCCAAAATGCCTGTAACAGAATCGTTTTGATTCCGAGTCTTCCAAACGCAGCAAAAGAAAGATAAACAAAGAAAACCCAACTAAACAAAAAAAAAAATATATCTAGAGCTAAAGAGATAAAACGATACCAAGAGGATGTAAGAAAAACTATAATCAAGACAACTTGGAATGAATGAGAAGAATGAAACCTATAAAGATAGAAATTATCATAAAATAGCATAAACGTATTGTAATCTCATAATAAAGTATTTGTTCTCTCAAAATAAAATATTACAAATTTCAAGCAAAATATTGCAGAATCAATATCTTATTATGTAAAGCTTGTTTTTTTCAAAATTACTAATTAACATGATCGCGACACATGTCAGTTATATATCTAAGATTGTGACATGTGTTAATACTAATTTTCCTTTTGTAAAATCATCAGAATATAGAAATGTAAAAAATAATTGATAGTAATTATCCCTTTTAAATTTTTAACCAAAAATTGTAAAAGACTATTTACTGTTAATTTTCTTTTATTCAAATCCTAATTAAAAAATCATAAAACAAAAAGAACTATCATTATTCACATATTAACATATTTTTTAAAAAAAAATATAATTTCGTTTTTAAAAATCTTGTACCAAAAACGATCTGTACAAATAACTTATTAAATACTAATTAAATACTAATTTTACTTCTCCAAAATCATAAAGAAAAAATAATTGTAAAATAAATTTGAAAGTAATTATCTTTTAAAAAAATATTAAATCAAAAAAAAATAGAGTGTTTAATGTTGATTTTCTTTTATTCAAATCCTAATTAAAAAGACAATAATCCAAAAAAAAAACTATACTTATTCATATATTAACAAGATTTTTTTGAAAAAGTAATAGTAATTTTCGTTTTTACAAATCCTATACAAAAAAAATTGTAAAAAAAATATTTAATACTAATTTTCCTTTTCTAAAATCATAAAGAAAAGATTAATGTAAAACAAAATTAATAGTAATTATCCTTTCAAAATTTTAAAACAGAAAATTTTAAAAAGAGTGTTTAATGTTAATTTTTCTTTATTCAAATCCTAATTAAAAAGATCATAAACCAAAAGGAATTACAATTATTCATTTTGGTTTATATATAAGACTAAGCTCACTCATATTTTTTCATTTCTCATATTTGATCACCAAACATAATTATTGATTTAAGAAAAATATTAAGTGAGTTTTTTGCATGATCATTTACATTTTTGCGTGTTATTTCCTTAGTTATGATGTTGTACAAAATAAGTTAAAATATGTATTATGCATATGTGTGTTTGTTTGTATTGACCCTCTGAAACTGGTTATGCTAAATAAGTTAATGGCAATACTAATTTACTATTTTAATAAGTTTATTTATGCTTATGTGTGTTCGTTCTATTTATTATTTCTAACTGAAACCACAATTCAATGTGCTACCAGGAATCTTATCAAGAAACAATAGCTTCGAAAGGTTATCTAACACTAGATCAGTTAAATAAAAACTTCTTTACCATTGTACTATTGTACGTCTTACTAGAAAATGGAAGCAAGAAATTTAAACAAGAATAATAAGTTAATAGGAATGAATTTTCTCCTACTTGATGAGAAGGTAAATTTTTTTATTTATTAAAAATCTTATATAATTTCATTATTAAAAATAATTTGTTTGTTATGTAGGATAATACTATTTAAGGTTATGTGCATTATTATCTTACTGAAAAGTTGGGAGATGGGTTACGTGAAGGAATCTTATTGAAATCTGCAATTTTAATTTGTAAAATTACAATAAAAATTACGAACTCTCACATCATAAATTTTCAGATAAGGTTAACCAAAAGAACAACAAGTACATGTGTGGAGAAACAATTACCTCAAACACCTCTTGCAA